CGATGAATCTCTGAAAAAAGCAACTTACTATTCAATTCTAATTCCATTACGTAAAAAAATAACGCTTTCTGTGTCCGTAAGATGATATTAGGAAGGATGATACTAAGAATAGATTTAATACATCCTATGAAAAGGTGAATTAGACTTATTGGTTTTAATTTCGAACGAAGCTATTTTAAGCAGTTTGACTTGAGCTATTCTATAGCGGAAATATAAATCGATACTAGCGGTTTCATGAACTTTAAATAAATAATTTTATTAGTAGTAAACAATTACAACATTAAATTGTAACAAATGGGAATCTATCTAAATATTGAAAGGGTACGTTATAATTACGCCTTCTCTTCTTCTATATTACTGTACGGCATATATTAAACGATTACAGTGAATCTTTGACTGTCTTTGTATTAGACTCAAGTTGAAAATTAAGTAAGGCTGTTATGCCTTAAGATGGTATAGGGTGTAAAGCCAGATTTACACTGAGTATCCTGCTTCTATATCCTTAAGGTCTTTACATTAATTTCTTGATAAATATTGATTTTAATAGTTACCGATTTTAATGAACAAAATTTAAGCTTTATCTATAATATGAGAACTAATTAATGTCGTGCAAATAAACGCTTTCATACCTTTTCGTGAGTCTAGTATGAGAGCACTGTATATATAATTAGATAAAATAATTGTTTATGTGTGGACGACAAGAATATGTTCATTTTGGAAGAAATTTCAAGCTTTGATAGTCATAATCTAACACTATCAGAGGTTTTTCTTGACTAGTAATGATGGTAATGGTATGTGTCTATCGAAGAAGTCTTACGGGACACTTCCATTTTTATAACTTCGCCGATAGATTAAGAACAGATTTTGCAGTTATTACTACAAACGAATCTATTACTGTTGCATCTTCTGAAGAATAATCGAGATGATTATATCTTTCTCCTTCTAAATTAGAATTTAAAATACTAAAATTGCTCAATACATTCTTATTCAAAGAAAATTTAAAATATTTCTGTAATGCTTCTATAAATAGCATCGAATTTCTCTCACTCACGCAATCTATTTCCTATCTAATATAATTTATGTCGCAGAAATAGTGTGGCTTAAACTCTATCAATTCGGGTTATTTCTGTAGTTACGTAATGTTAGGAAATCTATAACGATTTATTTAAATTGTTTACAAGCATTTCTACCACTGATCTGGAGTATCAAAGTAACTGTTCGCTATCAAATTTAATAGTTAGATTGAAAGATGAAAAATGATTAAACATCTCCGTCATCCTGTTTGTTGTATTTTAATGTTTAACCATAAGGTATAATAAATTTTCATATGAGTTACAAAATTTTTGTTAAGCAACAATTCCACTTACGCTATCGAAATTTCCGTGATGGCTTAAAAGCAACTTAATTAAAATCATTTTTGTAATCTCTACCCAAATGGTAATTTGAAATTCATAAATGTTTACATTGATTTCAATAAAATACTACAGCGTATTTGTTATAATCTGCCGTAAATATAAATAATTCTAGCGTAACATTTAATTATGTTCGATCAAGGAAGACAGCACTGATGATGACATTAAATTCATAACACAAGACAACAGATTGAAGTAATTAAATAAATGGTGAATCAGATAGAGATCATCGGCATCATTTTTGTTGTAGAAATTCGATAGCTATTTACTTTGATCCGTTGTTTTGCTAAAGTAAATTAATTTATCTCCTCTAAAAATACAAACTAGATTATACTAGTTTACTTAAATAACGACTTCTATTCATTAGGGAAGATATCCTAGGGCAATAATATTATTTATACTGTTATATCGATCTCGACTTCATCAGCAATACTCCACACTGAATTGATCAAGATATTAGCTAGCTTCTTATCAAAAACATCATTAGCTTAAATAGAACAACAAAAATAATATTAATATATTAATTTTTTAACACTATCCTTGATTAATATTAGATACTACGTCATTAATACATGGTTAAAGTAAAAAAAGACTCTAAAGCGGACACGTAATTCAATCAACATAAGCACTATTTTTCGTCAACAACGTCTATATGGTTATTATATCCTATTGAAAAAATTTATTTATATTTTGTTGATATAAATGCTTGGATTTTGTATCTGACGATAAATTCTTTCAAATTAATAGCAAGAAAATGCTCCATAAGATAGATACAATGAACAGGAGGTAACCTAATGATATGAAAGATAACTTTAACGGAGAATAAGATGAGCTAATTGATAGAAACATCCTACTTCATTGAATGATCGTGTAAAATGGCTAACGGTAACTAATATACCTGATAGAGAAAATATTTTAATAACAGGAAGCTATCTTACTTCTATTCTATTCCCATCAGGAAGTTATTACTTGGTTATGATTTATAATTTAGGTAAAATAGATAACCAGTGCTATAAGACACTCAATTTGCACAAGATACAGTGATAGATTACTGTTTCTCGCCCTAAATTGGCGTATTTTTCTATAACGAAGTTTTTTTTATCAATTGCGTTACACAATATTTTACTTTATTTTACTACTACACTTATAAAATGCATTACCGTAAAGAGTTAAAGTCACCACTATTTCTTATGAATAATATTGATTTTATAAAATAAACAACTAGAAAAAGTGATACTATAGGCCTTGCAAAATTAATTTCGAAATGAATCATATATATCATGGTTACATCAATTTACAGAATAGCATGCATATTTCTAAGAAATTAAATCTTGACATTTAACTTTTCAACAGTAAATTAATGGTTATCTTGTTAAAATTACAATCAATACAATGTTGCGACTCTTCATTTGTCATTTATTGTAGCACATATTGAAGTATCTCCTGTGAAAATTATAAGAATTCCAATAGTTAATCATAGCTTGGCATAATCTTAATGCTCCTATCAATCACAGAACAAGTATTACTAGGATATGGAAACTGATATGTTATGAGAATCAATTAAGATAAAGTGGCTGATAGAGATAAGGAAATCTAGGACGCTATTCCTATAATATGATTAGGGAATGCGATTTTCAATTGGAGTAGATATTAATGAAAAAGTTTTATTGGAACTAATTATATCAACAACTATAGAATAAACAACTTCCTCGTGTATTCATTAATATTGAGGCGGATGAGAGTATATTAAATTAATCAAATGGAATCGATAAAAAATGAAACTTTCGTACGCTTTTTATGCAATACTCATCGTCTATAAATACCAATATCAGGGCGAAATTTTTTAACTTGGATTAGATTACATTAATATTGCAATTGTTCTACTTGACTAATTGATTGCGATAAACATAATAGCGAACGAATGTAGGCGACTCAAAATCTTTTTAGTAATATCTGTCCATCATCGCCTTCGCTAAAGTAATATGCAAAAAACTGATTGATTAGACATATGTCCAGCCGATATTGCTATACTATTGAGTCATTGTCAGTATCCGAGAGAATATTCTTATCAATACTTTGATTTTTTAACTTTGATTTGACTACGCTATTAAACATAATAATTAATCTATTGTCTACAATTTACTTCAACTCTTGTTGGAAGTTAACTTAGTTTTAACGAATACTGATGAATGCATTCAAATTGTTGATTAAATCCACACTCGCCTTACAAATAATATAAAAATAGGGTTATTTATAAATTATTAATCAACCCTAGCACGCCAAGAGCCATGTTATCATCCGATGATGATAAAATTTATCTACGGAGAACTAAAAAGAAAGTTTTCCAAAATTATCCGCTGATAAGATTGATTTACATTAGCGCAGGAAATCATTTGCCAATTGAAATTAAATGACTAGAGGGACTTTATCGCTTTGTTTCTTTTTGATCATCCCGTAAAGAATAATTTAAAATTCTTTAGCCCCTCCAATCGAAATTATTGAAAGTTAGCGTTGCTTTTCAACGTAAATGACACCTGAAGCCTAATAACTTTCACACTGAAAATAATACCTGCAATAGTTCAACATACATATCTATCACGTAAGGGTCGATCTATTGTCTATTATCTTTCTAATCTATTGCCTGGATATTGCTATTCATCAGTTGAAATGATTATTTTATAAATAGCTGTAGCAATAAATAGATAACAAAAATGCAGCAAAATTCATTGAATGAAGGGAAAGTGTTATATTATTTTATTTTTAGATAAGAGAAAATGATAGACCGCATACAATCGATTTTGATTTTATTGAATTGACAACATTAGATTTAATTTTCAGCTTAGATTGTTCGTTAGACTAAATTAATATATTATTTCCCTTGAAGTAATTATCGATCATAATCGATGGAACTATTTAGTTTAATTTTCACAACGTTAAAGTACAAGAAACAAGAAAGCAATTTCCTCCTTAACGTCAGTTGCTATATTAAATTAATTTCTTGAATAGAATGGATCACTGAGCCAGTAATTGATCTATTTTCTTCTATTCTTTATTTATTTGAAAATCGTGATTACCCTTTGAAAATACATTCTGCTAACATGACCTATGAATCTCCAATCATAATAATAATGCAAAAACTTCCATTCTTATTGTCAGCTGTTGCCTATTTTTAACATCATTGTCTAATTTGAATTCAATTTTATCTTTTCCTTAACAGATTAATGACCTAAAAATTACAGCATATTTCCGTCATATCTTTAGTTTATGGCGTACAATTATATGCCAGTCATCGCTATCAGCAATCATACATGTGCACATTTTACCTTAAATTCAATTCATTATTTTAATAGGTGGCGTATTATTCAAGATATTATTTGTTCTTTATTAATTAAATTTAATTACTACAACGCTTTTATTCAGCAGCAGTGGGTGTTGACTGCGTTCCACTTGTCTACAACTCCCACCGTCGACGATAGTATATAAGACGAGTAGTTTTCTCAATCTCTCATTATACGCAATCGTTACGATTAGAAGTTCTAATTCCTTTACGGATTTTGCCTAAACTGTTGAAATATATAACACTTCACCATGAAGGTAAGTTTCAAATCGAGTTATTTTAATTCGATAGCGATTGAATCATTTATTTATTGGCCTAAAAATTTATTATACTAAATGATTAAGTTAAAGGTGCTCGTATAAAAACCGTGTGACTGCTGTAATACATAGTTAAACTTCATAAATTTTCCTTTCTTAATTTCCTTAATCTCTTTGTCTAGCCATATCAATTACTTGCCCATCAGTTAAAAGAGATTATAAATTTCCTATATACCTTCTAATTTACCTAATTCAACTATAGCAGATTTAAAAAGTTTAATCCTATGCCAGTTTTACTTCTCATCCAAGTTTATTATGATTTAGAATACCGTTCTCGTTGTTACTCTAACAGCAGTCGTCACAAACGTTTGACCTAAGCTGATTTTATCTCTTTTAGAATATAAAATCTTAAATTTCTATGCATATATATAACGTATTAAGATTGTTTTTAACAATTCAATGAATAAAACCGCCATGAATCTTCCTATGTCTTTATAAGAATTTATTTAGCTTGGTAGTAGAGAATTGCTAAATTTCTTTTCATATTCTATACTTGCAATTGTCTAGCTTTTCTTACGCATATCACACATAGCCTTCAAATCTGTTAATAATGTTATTTTTAAGGAGAAATAATTGATTTCAATATGACATAATAAGCATTTTAGTTAGCTACATTACTCTTTGATTACAAAAATCAGCGTTATATCATATTAGAGCTATAGCTGAAAAAAATTAATTCTATTTCCGCTCTTTAGGAAAACTCATTGTCTTTGCGTTTGTACAGTAACTATACCTTATTGCTGATGATTCTACATGTTTAATGATGTTTATATATCAATTCTACATTTTTAAGCAATGACTGAAACTGTTTATACGTGTATCAATTTCACTACTGTAATTAATAATATATACTGTTGAATATGTTGACATGTTCACTGATTAATAATTGCTCGCTTGGGAAAATGATATCGCAGATATTCAAATGAATATACTGTATTTATTAATGCTTTTTTCTTTTTAATATATCCAGATCACATTATTGGTCTTTACATTATGCATGGCGACAATAATGATTGATGCCTATCCGTCGAGGCATGCAATGATTGAAAAGCGCAAGGATAATGCCATATCTGAAATAGATGATCAAGTCGACGATGAATACGTCCTTTTAAAATTACCCAAAAGCTGGGCTAAGGAATATCTTGGAGAATTATTAAATCATTATTTAGAACGCCAAGAAGCAGAAGTCAGTTCATTTCGTGACGATAAATTACCTAAAGAATTTGTCGCCCGAAGCAACTTGAAAGCTTTTGGGGTAAATAGAAATTCCTTCAATTTTACAATGAAATTAATTTAATATGCAGCTAGCGATAGGAAAGATGAATTATTTAGCCTATATACACATCTAAGTTCATTTATTCAAGATTTAATTCAGTTCTTTATTACAATTACATGAATTGAGCGATAGATACGCTGTAAATTCCCCCAAATACATTCAGATTTATCAATCAATTATGATTTAGTTTAATTTTGCAGCTGCATCTAATTTATACAACAAAATAGAAGAGTTAATCGAATACTTTTTTATCACTATAAGTAAATAAAAGTAAGCTATGTTGCATCAGTTAAAAATACAAAATAAAATATGTTATCCAATGTTTAAAGTTATAAAAGTAATACTATGTGGCAGTATTTTACAACTACCAAAAATTACCGGAAGAAAAACAAATTAATAGAATACAATAAAATAATATGATTATTTAATGGCGAATTGCCAGATTGAAACCAAATGCAAATATTATCGAAGTCTTATCTATCAGTTTTGATTTTAATGAAAGTTTAGGAGCAAAATTAGAACATATAGATATAATAATCAGTAAATTACTCTTACAGATATCTAACACAATTAGTTATAGTGACTGATAATTGAGAATAAATATTTTCAACGTCGTAAACAAACAGAACTAAGACAGAAGCTTTGGAAAACAAATGTTGCCTTGAATACCAATATTATTATCTTATACCCCAAACTAGTTTTGCTTTGGTTGATTAAAGTAAATAAATAATGTTAACATTTATCAATGATATCTTGGTCAGAAAGATGTTGCAATACAGTGTTTTCACGATATCATTAACTATTAATATCCATTTTAATCTTATAAGAAAATTGACGTAGAAGATTACTGGATCTTGAATTTTTGATTACAATACATAATAATAATTCTTCAGTATATCCAAGTTACGGAAATAAATCTGCAATAGCTTCAGACTTTAATGACAGCAGATGGAAATGCTGAATAAAAGTTGTTGTCTGGGGATAACCTTTGATCTCCTTATAATGAATTATTAAATTATTGTTGCTTTTTGATGTATATTATCTTTATTAAAGAGAAGGAATATTCTTTGTAATTACTGATCATAGACAACTACATTTCTCAGACTAATAATCTCATAATTTGATCTATCTAAGGATATTATATATAGAATAGCTTAATTAATACGTGTAGTATGGCATATTCATTAATAGTTTTTTTATTCATCCTACTAGATCTTTCAAAAGAACAAGAAGAAGAAGCCCCAGTAATACCATGATGACGTTTTTATCTGATTGAATTCTTGCATAGGATCATAAACAACAATTCATATTTAAATTTTAACTGTAAAGAAAGGCTGCTCAGTCATTGAAATGAGAAATTCTTAGAATCTATAATCTATCATCAAGGTTAACATGGCTCAACGCTTTCTTGTGTAGCATAGAATAGCAAAAATGAAACGAAAATTTCATTTTAAGCTTTGGTATTCCTTATATCGGTTGAAGTGCGGATAGCGATGCATCATTTGTTATTGATTCCGTGTTTCTAATTCAAGCCATAAAAAATAATTAAATTATCATATTTAGAGTAGATAATATTAAAAATGTTCAGATCAATTTATTGCTTAGTGCTAGAAATATGAATTGAATTATGATAAACTCCCCTATCTTCATTATTCTATTCAATCCAATTTATTAATATAACAAAATCTCATTCATAATCAGCTGCAAAAGCAAAGTTTGAATTGTACAATGAATTGTTAAGTGTAACAAATCGATGATGATGATGATGAAAATTGGCAATCGTAATCTTTCTTTCATAATCAATGCTCGATAGCAAACTATAGAACTAGCAATTCTGTCCCTAGCTATGGCTTCGCTATATCACCTAAATTCTTTGATCGTAAGATGATTGTTTACAATTACTCTTGTTTTACCTTATTGCTATTGCCTAGAGGAATGAAACGTAAGCTAAGGAAGCAATGCTTTAAATTTACAATATAACTGACTGTATAGATATAATCAAATTGTTAGTTTATCTCCCAGCAAGATTTTGGCTAGATTTACACTTAAAATAGGGAACTAAACTTGATGATTATAATTATTAACCATAGGGTTTCAACTTATATTAAATAAATAAATTGCGTAAAAATCAATGCATATGCTAACGTGGAAAATAAAATGTCAATTGCATTATAAGGTTATCTTCTTATCGGCATATATTGATAAGGCATAATAGATTTATTCTGGCGTGCCATTTTAGGTAAAATATTAATTAAATGTTTAACCTTGATATTTTATCTTTCATGTAATTGAGCATGACCGTATAGCTCATTCAAAACTGTATCCATGTCAATTACAAAGAAAAGTGAATTTGATAGAAATAGTTACCACTGTCCAGCGCAAAAATATTATTGGTTATTAATTATTGAAGTTTACTTGACTAATTAAATTAACTGCAACAGTGTCAGAACAGAGCTAAACTCTAAAGTCTGTTACTTCATAACTATTGTCACCTTACTTTTGCCTTTTATGGCTGTGTTAATAGTGTCTAGAGACCTACAAAATGTATTTTACGCTCAGCAAAAGCTTTGATGGGGAATACGCGTAGGCCAATCACTAATCGTTGATGACAAAATGAGTTTGTCTAGAGTAATAAATTACTCTATACTTCTCCTGCTAAAAATATCACGGACTACTAAATTACAGTATAATGTAATTTAGTAGCCCATGGAAAACATCCATAATTAAACTTTATAGGCTAGGTCTACTGTAAAATATCAAAAAAGAGTCGTTTGTTAAATGTTTCTATCAAAGTCAATCAAAAAATACCACAATGTGTTCATTTATCCTAAAAGCTACGCGTATTACCTTACTATCTCTGCAAGGACTATCCGTTTTGATAGATCTACTGTTGTAAGGTTTATTCGCTGTAAAATAAATAGCTTAATCATGATAATATTAAAAATGAGAGCAAATTATTATAACGAAAAATCTATTACATACAGTATTAATACGCTTAAATTTATTATATAATAGAGTGGAGTAGATAATAGCATTGCTAATTCTAAAAGAATATTTTATAATCTAATTTAACGTATTTGCTACCTTAAATGAAATCTAGGTTTTATTTAGATTTTTCCTTTTTGGCTTTTGTACTACTGCAAGTTCAAATATTATTAATCACATACTATCATCGGAACGCTAGTGATATGATTTAGACTATTTAGTTTAGACTATTCTAAGCTTTACTTGCGGTAAAATGAACAACTTAATCAGGATAATATTATAATTGGGACTACCCTGATAGTAGGAAACTCATTTCAAATCATTAAATCGCCTAATGCTGAATGCGACAATAATCGATTCCGCTTGTTAGATAGTGTTTAACCTTAATGTAAATCATTATAACGAAAATTCAAAATTCTATAATGTACAATATTAGTACACTTCAAAATACAATACGGTAGAGTAGAATAAATAATAGCATCGCAAATTCTAAAAGAATATTTTATAATTTAATTTACATATTTGCTTTTCGAATATTTATCTTTACATGACAACGGTAATATCTAAACTGAAGAATATGTATGTACTGTCTTTAAAATAAGTATGTTTCATTAAATAAATCCTAGAATCTATATCCAGATTTCTCTTTTTTGACTTTTAAACTCCAAATATAATTAATCACATGCTATCGTCGGAAGGTTAGTGATTTGATTTAGACTTATCTAGCCTTTACTCGTAGTAAAATGAACAACTTAATCAGGATAATATTATGATTGGAAGTATCGTAACGTTGGAGCACTCATCTCAAATCATTAATTGCTCCATAAAGAACTTGACTGTAATCTATTCTGTCTGTTAGATAGGGTTAAACTGAGGGCAAATTATTAAAACGAAAATTCTAGAATGTATGATATCAGTACGCTTGAAATATAATAGAGTAAAGTAAAGTAGATCATAGCATCACTAATTCTAAAAATATATTTGATACTCTAATTGAACGTATTCGCTTCATCAAATATTTATTTTAATATGAAAATGGTAGTATCTAAACTGCGGAATATGTATGTGCTGTCTTTTCTAATAAGGCTGTTCCATTCGATAAACTTTAGAATTTATATTCAGATTTCTTCTTTTTGACTTTGAAACTCCACATATTATTGATCCCATGCTACCATTAGAAGGCTAGTAATTTGATTTAGACAATTTTATTTAGAGTATTCTAAGCTTTACTTGCCATAAAATGAACTTAATCATGATAATATTTTGATTGAAAGTATTCCAATGGTAGGACACTCATTTCAAATTATTAAATCGTCTACTACTGAATTTGGCTGCAATTCATTCCATCTGTTAGATAATGTTAAAGTAAGGGCAAATAAATAAAATGTAAATTCTATAATGAATAATATCAGTGTACTTGCGTTATAGTAGCGTAGAGTAGATAACGATATCGCCGATTCTAAAATGTATTTAATTATCCATCGGACATATTTGCTTCCTCAAATGTTTATTTTATATGGCAACGGTAATATCTAAACTGAGACATAGTATGTATTGTCTTTAATAAGTTTATTTCATTCTATGAAATCTACGATTTATATTCAGATTAATCTCCTTTGGCCCTTGTACAGGTGCAACACCTAATGCAATCGATCACATGCTATCATTTGGAGCCTACAGTTAATGCACATTTCTAATTCCACAAAGATATCAAAGTTTAATTTTATTGCCATACAGGCTACCAGGCTAAGGGATGACTTCGTTCGGTAAGCATCAACTATCATTACTTGAAAATTATACTAGACAATTAAACATATAGCCATGCCTAGTTGTTGCCATAGATAGTGAATTATAGCTTCATGAAACTGCTCAAGGCTATCGTTTAGGGGTTATCCCTTTCACTTTCAAGTAGGAAACTCACAGCATGGCATAGCACTCTACGTCGTATTTAAGACTATAGTAAACAGGAGACGAACGGATTTCATCAACTCTTTCTCTCATAATACTTAGTAAGGTACATAAATTTAAAATAGCGGGCTGTAAGGAGTTGTATTAGAAGAAGCCTTCTGCTTAATATAGGAGACCGCATGCTGTATAGTAATTTTTAACAGATGCTAATAACACTTCCAGAAAAATATGAATAAAGAAGTTATTGGTTGGGCATAGCAACCGTATTCACTACAAGCACTAGTAGTCGCCTCGAGTCCATCGATAGAGCAAGCAGTAAGAAATGAAATACCTTATTTTAGGCAACGCGATAAAAAGTTCATACTGACTAGAATCATACCTCAAGCTCTATACATCTATAAATAGAAGAGTAAAGAAAAAAATAGCCTGGAGCAAGGATATTACAGTTACGATAGTCTTCCGTTCAGTTCATGTTGTGGTATTAATTGCTAATGCAATGACTAGTAACCTTAGCATTCAATATTAAGATTTACATATAATTCTTGATAGACTAAAATCATCTTAAAATGGTAATTTATACTTGAGTATCATTACTAGCGATGGAATCGACAGTATTCATAAGAATTCAAGTGATATAACTAATTCTCAATTGCCTATTAGTCTTTCGCTGTAGTTACTTGTGATGGCATCAACAGCAATCACAATAATTTAAGGGATAAAATTAATTCTCTGTTACCCATGCAATACGGCAACATTTTGTAGATGTAATCCTCTGATGATAACCAGGAAATCTTAAAAATAAACGCTTTTTACTTTAACTACTGGGAATGATTTCAATAGTATACTGTAGAAATAATATTGAGCCACAATTCAAAACTTAAATTTATTCTCAGATGCCTAAAGTAGCAAGAATTCGCAGATAGAAGTATTTTCATTTCATGTTTTTTTGCCGCAGTATATTGATTTACTAGTGATGGTATCAGTATTACTTATGACAACTGAACGGAAGAATTGATTCTCCTTTGCGTCAGTAAGATCATAAGTATTTGCAGACATATGCAAGATCATCATTTTTGGGCTTTCATTATAGCTTTGTTGTGTGATCTACTTTAAATTACTTGGAATATTACTATTAGAAGTTGCCTGATAGAGAATTTCAAACTTGTATATTAGTTAAGTAGTTGCTCTATAAAAATGATTCAATTTTTCAATCTGCAAAGTACCGGTAAACATGGGCAATATTTGGATGATAATCAATGCAAAACTGGTTTTATTATAATTATTCACGGAATAGTTAATTCTATTTTGTACCTAGTTAAGATGATAATTGGCTATAATAATAACTACTTAAGCCATGAATGAACTGTTCACTTAAGCCTTAGCGAAAGGGTTAAATTTAATGCTATCATTAACCATTAATGTGTATGTTACATGTATACAACTGATCTTACTGAATCTCACGAGGTACTACGATTATGTACAATATTCTGCATTTCATTCTAAAACGGCAAACTATGATGAATAATGTTAATCATGCAACTTCCTATCGATATTGTAAATACAGTAGCAGGTAACAGATGTTGATAGACTTAACAAACGGAAATTTTGAATTAAATAGCAAATTGCTAAGTATCGCGCGTGCTTATTGTCTCAGCAGAATCTTGCATAGTAATACAAGAGTTCAATTTATGGAGATTTGGATTTATTGTGCGCTTATATTAAGAATTGGCTAAAAACTGGATGACAGAGAATTTTTAAATTACAGTATCTTCTATCCTGCTTAGTAGGTACTGTTGATAGGGTATGGAATCTGTGTTTAAAAAAACTTCATGAGAAAGGCACATCAGGATAATCAAACTAATTAGTCACTTTTCGATGCTATGGCTACAGTATAAGGCAATGATGCGAATATGACATTGATTAATTGATTTCGAAGCTAGAAAGCAATGATTGGCTTCAAGACTATCAGTAATTATGGTAATAGCGAAGAAATTGGAACGTGTATATAGGATAGCTAATACTAAATATCGAAATAAGTTGCAAGCAGTTGTAATCCTGACAAACAGGATATTTTGTTGCATATTATAGCACAACGCATTACATTTCTGCTATCGCATGCCATCTCCACCGCAAATTGAGATGTAGTGATTTTCTGCTATAACATGGAATAAACATACAGCTATCAAGCCTGCAACTCCTTTGTACCGTGATCAAATAAGCTGATAGTCTAATCACCGATTAAGCAAAGGATAAACTAGCTTTTAAATTATAAGTAGCATCCAACATGTACATTGTAACTTACGAGTATTCTAAATCGGTTGACAAGATACGTATTCCATGAATGTTTAATAGTTTTGATGTTATCAAAAGCATCAAGTGTTACGGCAAGAACTGAGCTAGAAGTCATTTTAATGCAATAGTTTTCAATCATATTGACACACCACGTACAAGTCAGCATTAAAGGCTGCCTTGCAACATCGAATTACAGGCAAATGAATGCCTATTTTAGATAACAGATTAAGATCGAGTTTGGTGTCTTATAAACATGCTGCAGAATACTTGCGTAAATTCTTATTTGCTGCCTTTCGTATGCTTGATAGGATAAAAGCAACATTAAATTGCAGTGATGTTGTTATATAGATATACCCGCTGATGCGGTTAATGATTAATTCAGCCGACATGGCTTTTAATGTGATGTCATTATCGACGATTTATTCTATATAATTTGCAAAGCACAAAGTTCATTTGGCCAAATGATTTTATAATTGATTCATTAATTGAATTAAAAAACAAACAATTCAAGTTACAGATTAATATTTCTATTTCCACTCTAGAATTGGCCCTCATCCATTCGTTCTAGTGTCGTCACAGTCGAAAGTGTATCAAAGTCTCTTTTACCATTTAATTTTATTTCCTGTTGAGTGTTTATGACTTATGTACATCTTGCATGTTGATTTAGAATGATTACTTGCCAGACATGGTTTAAAATACCGTCAGCAGAGCGAATATACCATACAGCAGGGCACATGGATACAGCACTAATATTCTCTGTTGATCCATGGATAGCGCAACCACAAAGAGATTCGCTGCCGAAAGACTACACCATAAAACGGTAAAACTACCTAGAATCATGCCCCAAGTGCCCCTAGAAATATTAAAATACGGCGTATAATACTATTAAAGCGATGGCTCCATTATCGTGATTACAACAGTTATCTCGATGTGGTCGATCACTTAATTCAATCAACAAGCCATAACTTACTTTAAGGACATTATAAATGATATGCTGGAAAGAAAAACCATTGGTAACAAGCAATAACCTAAAACACTAACAATGCAAGCCAAGGCAACTCCATTGGTACTCATTAAATTAAGGACGCTGTACAATCCAATACAACCCATTAAGCCAACACCATAGATGTAGCCGAAATGAACTTTACCAGTCTATAGTGGTAGACAGGAATGAATGAAAGAGGAATAACAGTAGTTTAAAATGGATTCTACTTGAATTTTAGTCGATAGAATTGCATACAGTAGCATCGATACAACCACTATTCGTTGATGTCTTATTGTATTGGGTTGGTATTGATGACATGCATAGACTGATCATTTTAATTTTAAAATACGTAACATTACGACAATCATTAGCGGCCATTGACGTTGATATTGTCGCCATTTTAAGCTATAGACAATATTGACATTCGTTACGAGCTGCAAATGGTTACTTACTAGAAGCAGAGTAGCGCCTAAGAGCAGGCAAAAGACTAAAGGTCCAGCCATATCGGTATCGTCCATAATACTAGGCTCAATATGACGAAATGGATTTAAGACATGACCAGTCTTTATGTTTGTTGTTGATGATGAAAAAGAGAACAGACACAATCGATACCAATCAATTTATGTTAGAAATACAAGTCGATCGACTGAATATAACATTATTAAGACAATTAGCTTTTCAAGGGAGTATAGTATACATCCAATCAGGTAATTTTGGGAAAAGTGTGAAAAAAAATGATGTCGAATCCTGTTTTACGTGCTGGCAACCAATCGGAATCATACTTATCAATTTCAACCACGATAGTTGACAAGGAATGATGAATAGTATGTCAACTCTTCTTATAAAATAGAGTACGACTTTATCTCATTTTACTACTTTCTTTACAATTTTGGTATCATGGCAAAAAGCTATGGAAGAAAGTCGTCCATTGCAATAGATTCAATCCTAGGCAATCGGCCCCCATTTTCATAACTATCCATATTAAGCGTCACTATCTAAAGCGATCCTATTGTAGAGCCTTACTCATGCCAAAGAGAAGTCTTGGCAAAGAGTTTTCCAAGGCGATTTTATGAGTGCACTGATGACTGTAAAACTTACCTTTTGTACAATATGCTGGAAGTTGATTCCAAGTTCTATCATCAGGCCAATCGATCGAGAAAGAATAGAAAGAAGACACAACTAGATGAGTGAATATTGTTTTCATGTTAACCTATCTATTAACCTCATCCTGTCGAAAAACAAGTGCTTGTATTGTCAGCAGAATGTATGGAAAAGAACTATGAACTACAATAGTGAAAAGCAATACTATCGACGTTGGCATAAAGTGGAAGATACTAATATTCATAGAATGCGATTGTCTTAGGATGGCGATCCATGCAATCCGCTTGTAGCCTAACCTTCTAACAACGGTGGTTCATCATCAAAGCTGGTATGCTTCACTTGAGCGGCATTATTGTCGATATTTCCAGAAGGAACTGTCATTTGTCCTGCATAATTTGGATATTGTTGTTGTTGTTCTTGAGGTGAATAATATCCATAGCCGGCATCATTTCCTGGCGTATAAGCCGGTGCTTGATGACCAGAATAAAATCCACTTTGATCGAAATCGATGCTATTATCGCCTGATGGATACGCCATCGCTCGCTTGATCTCCTTGCTTTTTACTGCACCGCCGGTCGCTTCTTTTCTACTAATGCAAGATAGTTATCAACTTAGCTCAATTTGCCTTCTTCTGTTGCACCTTAATCCAATCACATTAATGGGCAATTGCCCCTCCAAGTTTGCTAATGGTGGTTCAACGAGGACTTATGCGATGGCTTCTACTCCAGCTTGAGTACAGAAGTCGGTGAGCGAGGAAAGGAAGAAGTCAACGACCGTTGGCACAGTACAACGAATGACCAAGGCATCGAACCCATATCAAAAGCGGTTTTCCTCCCGTTCAAGTGCTTACAGTATGGCAGCGATGGAATGGATTGGACACTAACCCAGATCGACCACCAATCCACCCACAGGACCTTTCCGCCTCCATTCCCACTGTCTACAGTGTACAGTATGGCAAGGATTCAGTACTGTACACTGTACTCTTACAGTGTACAGTGCACAGTACATTCGATCACGCTGTACTGTATACTGTACAAGTTGATACAATTCAACTTGACTTCGACCGTCCAATGTCCATGGAAGAAAAGTCGAAGCACATAGTAATAAATAAATATATAGGGAAAATTAATGATATACCCTTCTTTAAATTTTGCATTTAATGTAATAATAATTACGATGTGCTTTGCCATCCAAAAGTTGCAAAGGAAAATAACACATCGTCATGTACAGTACTGTATTTAACTATAAGTAAAAGATACTACAGTTCACACCTCTTAACTTGTCGATAATTATCCCTTCAAGGCTTCAACTGATAGGCTTGGATTTAAACAGGGTTAAACCTTGATCCAAATTGAACCTAAAACAGCTAGCAGTTACTATCTCTAATTTGCCCCCAAATTGATCACGAAGTACAGTATAGTACTATACAGTGCAGTATAATGTCATGGACTACTAAATACGGTGCTGTCCATTTTTGCCAAATACTGTCGCTCTAATTTCATATGTCATGTTCAAATCATCCGCGAATCTTGTCCATATTAAAGTACATCAATCCAGGTTCTTTCTTGAATTACGATTGAAATTGACAGCGATGGAATGGATTGGGCACTAACCCAGATCGACAACCAATCCACCCCACAGGACCTTTCCGCCTCCATTCCCACCGTCGACAGTAGGGCAAGGGATTCAGGACTTTACATTTGATCACGCTTTCCTGTACAGTATACTGTACAAGTTGATAGAATTCAACTTGACTTCGACCGTCCAATGTCCATGGAAGATCCAACAGTCGAAGCACATAGCAATAATTTGCTTATACGCACAATAATTACGATGTGTTTTGCCATCCAAAAGTTGCAAAGGAAAATAACACATCGTAATGTACAGTATAGTATAATGTCATGGACTACTAAATACGGTGCTGTCCATTTTTGCCAAATACTGTCGCTCTAATTTCATATGTCATATTCAAATCATCCGCGAATCTTGTCCATATTAAAGTACATCAATCCAGGTTCTTTCTTGAATTACTATTGAAATTGACCGCAATTAGGCACTGAATGACTTCTTGCATAGATTCATGATCACTATGAATAAGGGTCAGCAGCTAGCTTAAAATGAACGATAGCGTTTCACATAGGCGCATAGACATGGACTATTAAAATATCCATTTAAATAATTTAATTTCAATAGTCCATAGAGTAAAGCGTTCAGGATACTCCTTAACCGTACGTACAATGAAGATTCCCATCCAGTATGACCATTCGGATCGGATAGACCGTACTGTAAAAAGAAAAGCTTCACTACTTATACGTATATCATATACGCGTAGATGTCCAGATCGCATGCATGAACTCTACCGCGTTGCCGAAATGAGTCTAAACCTAAATTTTTCCCTAAATTACTCCATTTGCCGGGCTAAAACAACGCGCCCAAACTAACGCTAAAATTCTTCTAATTCATCACATTGTAAAGGGTAGCACTGTCTTTTCTATCCTATCATAGATTTGAATTATCTTATGCTTACCATCTAGTTATGTCATTTTAGGAGTGATATTAACCGGTAAAAAGATTAGATTTGAGAAACAAGACTGTCATATAAGTATCATGACTGTATTACTCTTCGGTTCAATTATTCGCCTATTTGTAATATCTTAGACTAAGTGGATAATTGGCATTGGATTTGTAGATAGCATATAAATAAAATCATACTGTCTTGTTTCGATAAGATAGGCAAGCCTCACAAGTAAAGGTATACAAGTAAACGTAACCACCTTGATACTCAGTTGTATTCGCAAACCTGTACTTACATTAATCATTCAGTAAAGGAAGGCCTATCCTATAACTGACTACTAACGCTGTCGTCCTATTACTATGACAGCTAATTTTACTAGCAAAGAAAGCAAGTGAGGTTTTCAAGAGTGCTTTTGAAGTATAATTTCAAATGTTTTTCCATCATCAACCCTGCCAATGGGTACCTTCATTACCGGTCAACTCCGGGTACCCCTCAGACTATTTCTTACCATTGCAGTCATGGTTGCAAGTTGCAATCGGTAAATTTCTGCATTAAAGTGTGATTGAAAATCAACCACTTGAAGAACGATATTTAGTGTTTAAGTCTAAGAATTTTTAATTTTATAATTGCTGGACATCGATTAATTCTAATTACTGGCTGAAGAAGAATTTCGAACAGCATTTGATTTCTAACTATCGATAACTTTAAGACAGCCAGTACACGCGGATATAACAGAATTGATAGAAAGAGGAATGGTTCCTAAGAATTTCCTCAATTATAAAATTAAGAGAGAGCAATTGTTGAAAACAATTCTCGAGTCTAGTCTTAGCTTTATTTTCATGCAGTTTCTAAGAATAATAAGATAAAGTAGCTTGTAGATGTTGTGGTAACGATGTCAAAGGAGTTCTCATAGACAACTAGCAGACCATTAATTAAGAATGAGAAGACAAAAACACCTCAACCTTGCCATGACGGAGGGCAATGAGGAGGAGTACAAGAAGATTTGTCATAACCCATAGGAGAGGCAATTTAAAAGGAAAATAAATACCGATCAAACAATCAATTTTTGACCCTGATGTGTATTTTGAAAGTATAACTCGGAGCTAATCTGAGATTGCTTTATCAAATTACCGTAACTGTTTCGTTAGTGATTAAGATAGTTGTCAAACTATGGCTGGTATGGCGCAATTGTATTTCTTCATTTCATTAATATTTTTCTTTCCATATTGTGGTTTCACGATGTACACGATGGAAAGGGCAGTTACAGCTGTGGATAGCAAGGTGAGATTTCGTTTTTTTATTTAATTTCTACATTTTTCCTTTATAATATTTCTGATTGACGTCTAAGATTTACTAGGGGAGAAAAAAGATACAGAATAGTACAGTTTTTCTAGAGTTGTACAGTATATAGGCTATAACTTAGGATATCATAATGGTATCAAGAAAAGGATTGATAACGCAGTATGTATGCACGTATACTCATATATACGGATAATTTAGCTTTTGAAGTAAAATTCTGTGGGATGTACCTTAATCGCTATCGTCATAAAATAAAATAAATTGGTTATTCTGTCTTTAAACGTATCTATTTCATTGCCGTCTAGCATACTTTTGATAATAAAATTGCATCAACTGGTAGTAAGTTAGTTGTCGTCAACTTTTACACCGATGGTGAGGTCCATGCCGTCTGATAGGCCAAAAGTTTACGGTAAAAGATGAGTGTAAATTTCATTTGAAGGACAATCAATGATTGCATAAGTTATGCTGTTTAGTAGAGACTTGATTTGTAATAGTTTCTTTATCTATTGTCGAATTTGTCTATGTTAGGCGCTGAGTCAAAAATCCACAGACAGCAATGTTGTATTTCTAAAAGTTAATGTTGACCAGAATAGCATAAGTATGGCTTGTTGTACCGTAATAATAAAATTTCCGGACTTCGAATAGCTTTCCTACAGCGGATGAAGGATCAAGCATATTCTTTTTACGTCATTAAGAGGCACTAAGTTTTTTATACTGAATGTCGATTGCATTAAGGTCAAAATGTTATGTAAAATTTTGAGTTAATACAGTTAATATCAAAAAAATCATCTTCTATTTAAACTACAATGTCCCATCCAATTACCTTTTAACTCTTCACTTGACCGATGATGCTGATCTATATTTCTTTAAAATAGGCTACTGCTGAAGCTTACAATATCGGAGCTTTGCCAGTATTCCAATTTTTAAAATATGGCGTGAAGGTATTACAGAATTTATCACTCATTACAATAACATTTCACAGTAAAAATTGTATAATACGTATTTTTTATACTCGTGACATGATAGCACATAATCATTTATAATGTTTATCTGCATTAAAATTTTACCGTGGTAGATTGATCGACTGATTGGAGCTAGTGAAGAAAAACTTATTGCTAAACTTAACTACTGGAAGTAAAGAGATTGGGCCTAGTTACGTTATCCGTGTATATGAGTAGCATAGCATGACATGATTTAATACGGAATTACAGTAATTATCTTCGGTCAGTGAGGTATATGTCTACAAGTATTCAACAGTATAAAATTTCATTAATTTTACTGTCAGTAAATTAAGGTGTAGACTGATAGAGGAATCATTCTCAGATTCATTTACCTAGACTAAAATAGTTGTTGCAAATCTTCTTCTTTGTAACAAGAAACCGGGTCTTAAACACTATCTTCACTAGTACTTGTGTTCCCAACTAACTTAGGGACCTATCGTAGTTGAACTAACTCTCAGCTACACAAAAACTACTATTGAGTAATAGGTTTAAATACTTTACTTTATTTTCGTTAACCTTAGTCGTAAAATGTACTAAAGAAAAACGTAAGAATATTCTTAGCAATAATAGTCACAAGATCCTGCAAATGACTAACTGGAACTGAGAAGCTA